TTGAGGCTGCGTTCACACTCTGCGACTCGGCGTTTTTGGAGAATCAGCGCTCTGAGGAAAAAGAAAGGATATGGATCTGGCGTTTTGAAGGGGTCAGCTCTCGAGCTGCTTGGCGTTTTGGAAGCCCATCGTTTCCTGTACTATTCTCTTCGCTCGAAACGCTGTTCCTCCTGAAACGCCGATCCGTAAAGTATGAACACCCTATAGAATCCGCAAGGAAAAAAATCTAGGGAGAAAAAAAAATCTAAGTAAACCGGGAGCGGTTTATACATTCTTCGATGTATCTAGCTCTTGAGCCAGTGCCAGCTTCTGCTCAGGGCCGATACGGTTGATACCGTTACCCTTTAATATATAAGGCGTCTGCGATGTATCACATAACACGTTAATGAAGGAAACCTGTATAGTTTCACTGATGACGTCTCAGCACACGTCATCAACGTGTTATGTGACGTCAGTGATTCCATCTGTTTACGGGTAATGTCCCGGATCACTCACCTATTCTACATCAGCGCCAGGTGCGGTAATTGCAGTATTTAAACGCTGAAAGATGGAATTCCAAAGAAATACCCTGCCCTAAGTGTATTTGAGTTTATCACTCCCTCAACCACACTTTCAACTGTGTACCGCCTGTTGGTATCGATCTATTGATTATCTTGCAGTCAATACTACTCAACGAGCAACTTCACCATACTTCTCTATAGCGGTGATGTGGATACGATGTGTAACTGGATGGGTGCAGAATGGTTCACCACCCAATACTTCGGCAATACCTTAAATCTAGGCGTGAGTTTCTTTCGAACTGAAAGTTCAAAGCCCTTAAAGACGGTGGTAACGCTGACTGTGTGGGTGGACTATTTGCTAACACCCACTTTGGTCATTTTTGTGGTGGCAGAAAAGAAGGGAGCAAGGGGAGTATTTTCAAATTAATGACCAAGAAAACAGGCCCATTCACAATTTGATTACCGCTGTGCCATAATCAGATGAAATATGAATTTGTGCGGGGAAACTCTACAGGCGAAGCTCTGACCTACACCGCGCACGGTCGCGCTGCGGCCTGGTCAACCAGTCCATAGCTAGAGGGCCTCTCAAACCATTATAACAACGAACAAAGTACCGAGATTATAAGCATATATTTCAGCTCCAGCAACGCCAGCCATGGTACTATCAGTCTGATCCGCAGTATGTCAGCACACTTGGGGGTTACGCAAGGAAGTACGCCAAGAATATCGATGTTCTTACGGTAAAGGTGAGTCCTTACTGGTAAACAACTCTCTTCCAGAGGTTTGACTAGGTATTTGGAGAAATACCAGGGAGGTACAGTATCTTCGAAGGTACATATGCCTCGGGAGAGGCCTGTCTGCAATTTTGCGCCTAGGCGCTTTACTAGCCTAC